GGAGAGCACCGGACAGCCGAGCCAATCATGAAGCAAGCTGATCGAAGCAGGAAGCAAAACAAACATCACCATGGCAACGACAGCAAACTTAGACAGATAGATAGAAGTTAGATAAACGTCAGAAATGGACGAGCAACTTATTGATTTGTTGCAACAACACATCCAAAAACCACTGCCATCAATTCCTTCCCGCTCGTTGTCCCCCGTGTTAGTTTACTCTTAAGTGACGTTTGAGGGCGTGAGATGACGAGTTCTGAGAGAGGAAACGTGGTCGTCTCATCGCTCTCAACACACTATAAGAACTAAACGGTTTAATCCGTCATGATTTGTCGTCATGTGTGGTCGCTCTCACTTTTTTAAAATCCTTTAAGATTTTTATCTGAGTGTGTGTCCGGCTTAAGTGTTTTTCTTTAAATGTAACAAAGTGAACATAACGTCTTAAATCTGCACGTTTCTTTCTTCAGTGTCTCTGCCATTAACAACGCTGGGTCCAAACTGACCTGTTTTATGAATCAATCCCCTGCACCATCATCTCATCATCATCTCCTTTTTTTTCCCCATCCACATCAAACACCTCGCAGGTCCAATCTGGGCTCTCTGGGATGATGGCGGCTGATTGCTCTCGATCATAATGAGCTCCAACAAAAATAGATTTACTGGGCAAATTATTTTCAAGGGAAATATCTGCTGCACGGTGTTGTTTTGTGTCCCCAATCAGAGCCACAAGGCCTGACTGATAATCAGCCACTAATGAACCAGAGACTCTATTTTAAATGATATCTCAGAAACCTCTCATGCAGTGTTCTTGGAAAGTGTAAACTCTCTTTTACTTGTCAAAATCAGACAACCTGTGAGAGGGCAGCGCTGAAGCAAATGAAAGTATACGGTGAGTCATCACCAACGCCGTGAATTATCATGTTTATGCAGCAACCTTCAATGGGCGGGTGTCACTGGAAAAAAAGATGCTACAGGTTGGAGCATGTGGGTGCCACAGTCGACAGGCAGCGTCATCGCGACCTTTTCACCCCGGCCACCTACAGCACACGTGCACAAAGCAGACCTGCCCATCCTCCCACATCATTGTTAAAACCATCCCCCCTCACACACACACACACACACACACACACACACACACACATACACTCGTACAGACTGTCAGCTCTAATGTGAGGACACTTAATCCAAACCCAACGCCCACATCCTCCACCTGTAAATAATCGTTTGTCCTGTATGATTTTCTGCAGCTGACAACAATTCATCCCCGTCTCTTTGAATGGTAGCTGCACTTCCCCGCCATGCTTTGCCTTTTAGAGACGGATGTACACTCTAACCTGATGATCCATGCCCCGATTCCCAGAGGCTGTGTGTGTGTGTGTGTGTGTGTGTGTGTGTGTGTGTGTGTGTGTGTGTGTGTGTGCATGTGTGTGCGTGTGTGTGCGTGTGTGTGTGTGTGTGTGTGTGTGTGTGTGTGTGTGTGTGGAGAGAAGGGTCTGCTGACTTCAACAGCTGGCTTCTTCCAATAGGCTGTCAGGGAGCACATCCGCCTAATGATATCACTGCTGCTTGTTGATGTGTGAGGTAAAGAAAGGCCGAGGAAAAAAAGAGGGACAAGACGAGACAAATGTGCTCATATTTATCAGCGAACAGACGCCAGAGAGCGCCCTGCGCTGCTTCACTTGTTGAAAGACATGTTCTCAGGTCAATTCGCTATAGCTGTTCCTTCTTTCTACACTGCCCCTGAAAAAAATCACAACATGTTTCCAGTTCAAGCGCTGGAAGTCAACATCCACATTGGATTCATATGTGTTGGGCATAAACTTAAAAAAGACCGGTAAAGTGTATCCTATCGTATCTGTCACCATATATTATTGTATCGTATCTGTCGTATGGTTTTGTACTGTCAGAGGATATTTCAGTTTTTTTTCCATTTTATACATACAAATATCTAACGATGCACAATTCTGAAAACTTGAAGCTCCTGTATCTACAACATGACTCAAAACCAAGCAGCAACCTCTGAAAAGTGAAGCCGATGCTGAAGTGTAAAATCCTGCAGTTCCTCAAGTGTCCACTAGAGGCTGGCTGCAGAAGCACAGGAAGTCACATACACACCCATTCTAAAAGGCCTGTTTTCACAGCAGAGATTAACATGTTTACAGCCTGGTTCAAAAAACAAATAGGTCTGATTAGCTCATGTCTCGATCGGCACACACTGTACGGGGGGGGGGGGTGTTTTGATGACTCATCAGTTTTGATTTGATGAAGGATAAGAGTTATTCACAATAAGGCTTGTAGCTGACCTGATTGACAGGTGGGCGCGGTGTAACGGTTTGTCAGGAGGTTTAAAACCCGCCTCAGCTCCAGCTCTCAGCCTGTCGTTAGGTTGACTGAAAGTTAGGCTGAGATAGCATTTCCAGCATGGAGACCGCCATCGATGAGATTCTAGCACCCCCTGCAGGAACAGACGGGCGACGTCACTCAGGCTTCGTCCTTTAATATTTACAGTCTTTCCTCCAAACTGCTAAACTCTGAGCACAGAGTTTCCGTCACACTCCTGGACCAATCAGAGACCTTTCTCTGTATTCAGCGTTTACATTTTCTCTGAGACAATGAGCCAAGGAAATCCTCCGCCACGCTGAACACAGTGTATCAGCACGATTACAGCAAACTTGTCCGTCCAGTGGGAGTTCATCCTCTCTGTTTACATATGCTGCACACACACACACACACACACACACACACACACATTCTCTCACATGCACATGTCGTCTTTTTCAAAGACTTGCGCTCGGGCATTTTGCAGACGTGCAGGGAAACCCACCAACGGCTGCATGAGCACACGGCAGACTGGAGGAGACTGCTGAGACTCTCCCAGAGGAGCTATTTAGCTTTCTGAGGCTACATTGCTACAGCTACCATCCTGAATGTCAAAAGAAATGCATTTACTTACAGTCGGTCCAGTGGGAAAAGACGCTCACTCTGTATTCAGGGCACAGATAACAGACGTTTTCTGTTCATTTTCAAGCGTTCTCTTAAAGATGGAGAGCAGCGAGAGACAGAGACCAGTCAATCAGGTTCTCTTTGACAGGCTCAATGTCTTCACTTAATGGAGCAGTACGTGGCAACACAAACACAAGTGAACCGTTACTTTTCTGCTTCCCGTGTCTTGCATTTCAACTGTATTCTGAGCACGATTCATTAAACCGACTCTAACAGGAAGGAGCCTGAGCAAACACACATTTGGAAGAAATAAATATGAAGATATTAAAGAGTATGATTCAGGGAATCCAGCCGGCACACAAAAGACCTTCGCCTCATCATCACAAACATGATTAATCCAAAGAAGATTGGATAATTTTTTCATTCTGCCTCATTAAGAGCTGAACTCCTTGTTATTCCTTCACAAAGGTTACACAACAACACAGCAGAGGATTTGAGTGCAACCAAGGAGTAGGTATAAGGGGACCTGTGGGTTTTGCCCTCCTGGTGCCAAAGTTTGCACAACTTCACATAAAGTAGAGAGAAACTGCTTTTCATTTCACCAAATCATCTGATGGAAGCGGGCAAGAGAACTGGTTGAGATAGAAGTGATTGTACTCGACCTAAAAAGCCTCTGCATGTTTCTAATAAGCTCCACGAGCAGAAACGTGCTCAAACTAGGATCAATATTGGAGATGCTTTTGAAAAATGGAGAGAGGTTAGAACACAGAAAGGTTTACAGACAGATGCAGAGCTGGCTAAACACCTGCGTGAGCATTGACTCTAGAGAGGAGGGGGGGGGGGAGATTGTTTAAAATTTGGACTGCAGTACCCATTTTAAACACTAGGTGTTAGAGTTAAATATTTAATTCAGTTGTTTGTTTTTACCTAAGAGCCCGGTTTAAAATATTCAAACAATACAACATTTAGACAAGGAAGTTTATAATTTAAGACAATTGTTTAAGTATATTTTACACTAGATTGCTGTTTTTATACTGTTGATTTATATTTCACCAAATATCATCGATATGAAACGTAAAATAATTTAAGTTCCTCTGAATATCTCTGAGTGTGTGGACTTTGGCGCTCCCTGTGGACACAATGTGTAGTGTAGTCGCCTTTACCCCTAATTTCCACATACTCCCTCTGCGCCGCGGTCCGACAGCGCCGCGCACTACGCCGCCATTAGCCACCATTAGCCGCCATTAGCTGCCATTCTAGTCAATGATTGTGTTTCGCTGCAACCGAGCCTCAAGCTGGACCTAATAGATCGACCCGGACAGGAAGTCAGACAACGAAACGCACAGAGCGTCCGGTCAATTTCAAAACTTCTTGAACCATGCTGCATCAAAAAAAAAACTAATTTGAACTCACATCTCGCCTCAGATGAGACAAAAAGAAAATCAGATCTCAAGGGGGGCCATGGCACCTCTGGACGACCCTCTGGAGGCGCCCCTGTTTACGCCTGAACCTGTGTTTCCCATCCTGGTTGAAAAATGTGTGTGTGTGTGTGTGTGTTAGACAGCAGAGATGACATCATGTGTAACAAACCAGCTTCTTTAAACTGCAGAGGAGCCTTGAGATCCATTAAGAAAAAGGGTTTTTATTCTTTAAAAGAGCCAGCACTTTCCTGTCACTCTGCATTCTTACAATCATCGTCATCATATGATATCATAGAAACGGCACAATACTGTGTCAACGACAGAGGAGAAATAGAGACACATATCCACACACCTTTGTACAACATTCAGCGGTAAAAGTACGACACATTTCATGACTGGACTAGGTTTCATTTATAAAAATAAAAGAACATTTACATAAAGACATGGTTTCACTGCGCTGTGTGTCTGTGTGTGTGTGTGTGTGTGTGTGTGTGTGTGTGTGTGTGTGTGTGTGTGTGTGTGTGTGTGTGTGTGTGTGTGTGTGTGTGTGTGTGTCTGTGTGTGTGTGTGTGTGTGTGTGTGTGTGTGCGTGTGTGCGTGCGTGTCTGTGTGTGTGTGCGTGTCTGTGTGTGTGTGTGTGTGTGTGTGTGCGTGCGTGTGTGCCTGTGTGCGTGTGTGCGTGCGTGTGTGTCTGTGTGTGTGTCTGGACGTGGTTGGTTCTGAAGTCTTGGTGGTGTCTGATTCAAAAGAAGCTGCATGTAAAGCTCATCCTCTCCGTGCAGTTACACCATGAGCGATGGAAAGCAAGAGCCCCATGCACAACGCTCGATGCACTTCACAGTTTATGTAAAAAAAAAAACAAAGAAAAAACCAAGTATGTACATGTATCGTGCGGGCCATCATACGTATCTTCTGGCGTCCCTCCTGCACAGTATCTTTTTGAACGACCTCCTGAAGTCGTTGTTGAAGATGGTGTAGATGATCGGGTTCAGCGCACTGTTGCAGTAGCCGAACCAGAAGAAGAACTTGAAGAGCGTGGGCGGCACCGGGCAGGAATCGCACAGCGTCATCAGCATATATGTAAAGAAAAAGGGGAACCAGCACACCATAAACACTCCAATGACGACGGCGAGGACGAAGGTGAAGCGTTTCTCGCGGTTCTGCCGGCCCTTCCAGCGGCTGCCCTTCGTGCTCGGCTCCCGTTTCTGGACGTCGCTGGTCCCCGGTTTGATTTGGCTCAGCTTGGTTTTCCCCTTGGTGGATTTCTTTTTGATGGAGCAGGGATTGTTCACCTTGTGGTCGGAGGAGGACGAGTCCTCGAGGTCCATCCCATTCACCTCGGCCTTCTCCTCCTCGCCTCCTCCTCCTCCTCCCACATCCTCCCTCAGCTCGATGTCCCGCTCGCCGTTTAGTTTCTCTGCGTCGCCAGCGCCCACACCGTTCTCCTTCCGGTTAGCAGCGGTCGTTGCCGTCTTAGGCGCCTCCTTCCGCTGCCTATCTCCTGGCGGCGCACGTGTCCTCCTTTTGGCGATCTGGTAGATCCGTACATAGACGAGCACCATGATGAGGCAGGGGAGGAAGAAGGAGCCGATGCAGGAGGAGATGACGTACCATTTGTCGTTATTAATCTTACACACGGGCTCCTCTTTGCTGTTTTCTTTCTCCATAGTGATCAGAGGAGGGAAGGAGATAACCGCCGCGATGACCCACACGATGAAGATGATGCACTTGATGCGTCTCGGCGTCCTCTTCAGGTTGTACTGGATGGCCTGTGTGATGGACCAGTAGCGGTCCAGGCTAATGGCACACAGGTGGGTGATGGAGGCGGTGCAGAAAAGAACGTCGAGAGCCAGATAGATCTCACACCACACCTCGCCAAAGTACCAATATCCCATCAGCTCGTTGGCGAGAGAAAAAGGCATCACCAGGGTGGCCACCAAGATGTCCGCCGACGCCAGGGACACCAGGAATAAGTTCTGCGGAGCCCTGAGGGCCCGGCTTGTAAACACGGCGATGACCACGAGGACGTTTCCAAACACAGTGAGCAGGATCATGATCCCCACCAGCACGGTGAGCGGTAGGGAGATCTGCAGGCTGTAAGGGGCCCCGCCTGGGAGAGTCTGGTTGGTGGTGTTGTTGTTGTCGAACCCCATCAGAGCAGACTGGCCCACCTTCAGTTTGAGTTCACCTGAGGTTAACAAAAAATCATCACCAGGAAGGACCGAGCTAGTGGCTCACAGCGGGGACGAGATAGGAAGCGACTGAATCCGCCCTCGGAGGCTCTCCTGGATTTCTCTCTTTCATCATGAACAGGCTCCTCGAGGATACGCTCTGATCTTTTTCTAAGGCTGTCAGATCATCTGGAAACATGAGGCAGCAAGAGGAAACATCAGAAGCCTTCAATGCTGTTTAACAAGCTCAGTCTTTATCTATCAAAATTATTACTGTTTTAATTATCTCAGGCTTTAAATCAGCTCCTTCTCCTGGTTATTAATGAGAACAAAAGCCAAATAAAGTATGAAATAATCTTACCTGAAACTGGTGAAACAGCCTCTCCGGTGCGCGCGTGCATTAAAAAAACAGTCCCTGTGTAACTTCTTTACGCGGATCAGAATGAAGCAAAGCAGATCCATGTGTCGGATGAAGCGTGAAGTCTCCCCTCCGTGTCTCCTCTCGCTCCCCTCGCAGTGCTCCCTGTGCTGCATCTATAGAGCCCGGTGTTGTGCCCTTAATAAGAGCGCTAATCGTGTTACCCCCGCGCGCGCTGCCGTTCTCCTGGCTCCTGTCTGCCTGCCTGCGCGTGGAGTCTCTCTCCTTCCTCAGTGTTAACCGGAGCGACACTCCCTCTCTTTATAGCCCGCACGCTGCAAAAAGTGTCCCGTGTTCAGAGGGTCACGCAAAGGCAACACACACACACACACACACACACACACACACACACACACACAGAGGGTGACATCGGCAGGAAGTAATATCCACGCGCGTGTGCACGAAATAAAATACCAGTGGATATGCATCCTGCGTGCAGCACAAAATAAACATTAAATTATAAGTGCATTAAGAATGATGTGCTGTACTTTCACATGATGATCAAAACACTTTAAGGAGGAATAACCCCCCCTGAATATTTAATCTGAGGTTTCTTAGGGAGAGCTGTTATTATTCGCCCCTCTATACTTCTGTCTTAATGACTATAAGAGGAGAACCAATCAGCTGATCAAGGCAAACACACTGAGTGCTTTACATAACCAGACACGCAGCTGTTAATGTAACGACAAAGAAATATAATAAAACTGAGGAGGGGAGAAAAGAGGATGCATGGGTTACATCAACACTTAACGCACAGCAAGTTGGGGTTTTTTTTGATGATAAAAAAGGCGTAGATGAATTAACCAATCAGAAGCTCGTGAGAGGTAGCATGTTTGTTTGATATTAAAGTGAGTTTGTTGTGCAAATACAGTGAGCCATCATTTTGGTGTCAGTATAACTGGGAGGTCATTAAAAAGTGAGTTATGATTCTGATTCAGTCACTTTCTCTCTGTGCATAATCACCTGAAATAACACGTTCAAGTGTAGACAGAAAGATGTAAACAACGATATAATGAGTTCATATAAAGGCCTGTGTTTTTAGTATCATTTTAATTAGTAGTAGGCCTACTTCTTTTTTCCACAAATGTTAGTGTTATTGTCGTCTTCTTCAAGGTGTTTTATGATGTTGATAGTAATAGGAAAATAGGATCTTATCTTCAGTTTCCTTTAATCATTTTTTTTTTCAAATGTAAAGTGTCAACATGTCGTTTATTAATCCTCCCAGTCTTAAGTTGAAATGAAAAAGTCTCCCCTATCAGAGTGAACTACTAAAGTTAGGGAGTCATTTTTTGCAGTGCAGCTGCTACACTCGTTGCTAGGCAGCAGCCAGAGCAGCACCACGTGGGAATAGACAGATGCGTTTTATTACTCTGTCCAAACTCAATTAATTTACTCTCTTTTTACACCTCATGTCCACCCAGGGACACACACACACACACACACACACACACACACACACACACACACACACACACACACACACACACACACAGGTAAGATGGGAGCGGCGACACAGCCAGGTGCGGCCTCCTCTTCTTCTACAGATTTAAACGTGCTTGTGTCACAATCGGTAGTAAAACAAGGATCAGGATTCATGTTGCAGATTAACAAAACACACTCAATTCCAAAGAAACAAGCCGGAGTGATGACACGTTTCTGCACATGCTCAGTAGGATTCTCTCTGCCTGCTGGAAATGAGCAGTAGGCCGGCCCTTTTTTTAAATTCTTCAAAGTTCATTTTTGGACTTTCCGGGCCTCTAGAGAGAGGAGGACAGTGGACAGAGCCAGAAATCAAGGAGAGAGAGAGTGGGCAACGACACACTGGAAAGGAGCCACCGGTCGGACCGAACCCGGTCAGTCCGCCCGGAGGACTTCAGCCTCTGCCAAGGGGCGCATGCACCAACCACCAGGCAACCGGTGCCCCGATTAATCACATTTTTAATCGCATGTTTGAAATTCCATTATTTCACCTTTAAAATAAAAATTTACTGTCTTATAGTAAGCTGAGAGTACTTTACTTGCTGTGTGCTTTTATTTTGAAATACAGTAAGGCCTTTATGGTAGATGGAAGGTTAGGAATGAAATTAAGCACAGAAACAGAAAGAGGTTAGGTATCCCAAAGTGACAGCTCAAAAGAACGGTAACAAAGGCCAATGTGTGATGTCATAAGGTCAATGTGTGATGTCATAAGGTGGATATTACTTTGAACTCGTCAGCTGAGCTGTCTGAGAGTTTGTTAAAGTGAAATGAGACAGCCTGAGGCCCTGTCTACACGACATGATTTCAGACAAAAACAGTAACCTTTTGGTGTGTGTTGGCTGTTTGTTTACATGACAACGTTTGCGTTGCCTGAAAACGCTAACTTTCTCTACTCGGGGCAATCAAACACAGGTGAGACTAACAAAACAAAGGTGAGGACAGTGAGGGAAATCAGAGTGCAGGAAAGACAGTCAAAGGAAGGAAGCGAAACATGAAACATTTTGTAGACTCTCTAAGATGCTTTTATTTTATATCCCATCATGTTACTAACCTGTTGACAGGTTCCAACTTTTTTTAAACCGGCTCAACATCACACTTTGTTTTTTTTTTATTATTTGAGGATTGTAATAATTTTAAAATACATTTCTTAGCTTAAAGGAGCAATATGTAACTCTGACACCTAGTGTTTAAAATGGGTACTGCAGTTTAAATTCTAAACATTGTAGAGCGCTGTCTCTCTCCCCCCCCCCCCCTCCTCTCTATAGTCGATGCTCACACAGGTTGCCATGTGGTGGACACTGAAGCTTCAGTGTTTAGCCAGCTCTGCATCGGTCTGTAAACCTTTCTGTGTTCTAACCTCTCTCCATTTTTCAAAAGCATCTCCAATATTGATCCTAGTTTGAGCACGTTTCTGCTCGTGCAGCTTATTAGAAACATGCAGAGGTTTTTTAGGTCGGGTACAATCACTTCTATCTGAACCAGTTCTCTTGCCCGCTTCCATCACTGCAACACCTGTTGGTTTGACCTGATAACTGCTCTCATATCTGGCAAACCGAGGGGCGTCCAAAACGGCTGTGTGGAGGGTGCCTTAAAACCGCCTACCTTCTCTGGTCCAAACAAATCCAGAGCATTCAGGACCAGAATCTAAAGTTAGAAGGAGGACATACTGGCTGCTGCATTGTTGTCAGAGAAGCCAACACTTCAACATAGCATGTTTCCTTAATGTCTGATCATATAGTAAGGTCACTTTATCATTTCACTCACTACACATCTTACTGATTGGACCTTTAAATGTTTCTAATAGTGACCTGAAGGTCTGTACATGTACTTAATGTAACCACATGAACAGGTTCCGTTACTCTCTCTCTCTCTATCATGGACGATCGACACTGACGGTTATTTTCAATCTTTTCTGCAAATCGACAACAAACAGGAACAACATTTCTTCAGATTTCATCCGCCGGGGGATTCTTCATTTTTTCCGTCTCCCACAGTCTTTCTGGAACTGGAGCCGCTTTCTAACCTCAAACTCTCCGTCTCTCCGGCTCTCAGTTTAATACGTTGTTTGTGCTCCACTTCTCTAGGAAATTTAAAATCACTGTGGGAGGGGATTCTCGGAGAAGAGAGTTCTAGAGGAAGTGTGGGAGGACGCAGGGTTCGTTCATTTCTCGATTCATCAAAGGACTCTGTGTCAATCCTCTGCTTCTGAAATTATGTCGACCTCACTCTGTGCCGCCTAAAACCTGCAAATGTTACACGGGCTTGATTCAGCCCCAAATCCCAATACATGTTGAAAATCTGAAGGTATTTTTTTTTTGTTTTGTGTCTCTGACTTTACATCCACCTCAATGTTTCTCTTCAATCTGTTCTTTCTTCCGTTTCTGTTTAACATTTACTTTCCTGTTGTGATGTAGTTGGCCGCTGCTTTTGAATTATTCCATAAACAGATTATCAATTATTTCCAAAAGTACAATCAGTTGCGCACGTTGCCCCTCGGAGTGCAGAATCAGTCCCTTCTTTAAATGTCACCGTGTCATCTCTCCACTCTACGGCCGACTGGTGACGTTTTTTAAAACAAAGACCACGCCTCAGTCATCCCATTGCCCTGCTGTACGTATTTACCTCACCTCATCTGTTTCTTTGCCCCTAGATTCGACTTTCTCGTCCCTCCCCCCAAAATCTCCCCCCCCCTCTCTCTGTCTCTTTCCTTTTCTGAATAGAGGCACCTCAGGGGTCTCCACATGTCAGAGCATGAAGAAATGGCTCCCCCTACCTGAGTCTTGACTCCGCCGCTTCCTTCAACCCATCCTGACACCATCTGCTTCAACTCAGTTTCCTCCAGTCCACTTCATCCCCTCATCCCTTGACCTCTACCTACATCCCTCATCCCTTCATCCCTTCATCCCTTCATCCCTTCATCCCTTCATCCCTCTACCCCTACCCATATTCCTTCATCCTTGATCCCTCGTCCCCAACCCACATCCCTCTTCACTTCATCCTTCATCCCTGGATCCCTACCTACATTCCTCACCCCTTCATTCCTTGACCCTTACTTTACCATCTGCTACAACTCAGTTTTCTCCAGTCGACGTCTAAACTCATCCCTCAACCATCGACCCCTGCCCATATTCCTCCATCCTTCAGCCCTTGTCCCCTACCCTCATCCTTTGAACCCTAACCTCATCCCTTCATCCCTTCATCCCTCATCCCTGGACGCCTACTAACCTCCCTTCTCTCATCCCTTCATCTCTCATTTCTATCCATGCATGTCATCTTCATTCCCTGTTACGGTTGGAAGAGATGGGCTTCAGCAGAAGCACAGGTCCTCGACATGAACTTGATGTACATCCTAATCGATGCAAACATTCCACTCGACAATCATTTTAAAGGATATCGGCAAAGGGTTCACGTTGGTCCGATGCAGAGGTCGAGTACTATTTCCAGACTCAGCTGCATTAAACTCACAAGAATTCTGTAAGTATTACACCGTGATGACATACAGTATGTAAAGGAGGTCACTGTGCTCGGGCTGGTTGGTCCTGGAGGCCACGTGTGAGTTCGCCCTGGGCCCTCTTACTATTTATTTAAGGTGCTGGATGCAGGTGATGGTGACTTATGTTGATTTAAACTCTTTGTTTTATGTCTTATCTGAAAACAAACAGACACATGAAGTTTGTTTTTATGAGCTTCTGCTCACAGGAGGTTTAATGGGGTGGCTCCTTGGTGTCAGGTTTAGTG